GTTATGCTAAAGTTAGAGAACAAAATAATTAAGTAGTTAGCCGAGACATTCAGATTCTAACAGTTATGGGAGTTTAGGAGAGGGAGACCTGATCCCTGCAGGCTGGCACAACCAGAGAAGCCTCAGGTCTCACTGAGGAAGGGGAACCTGAGTTTAACTTTCAACAATCACTTACAGCATAGCTAAGTTTTGCATAATTGAAAAGGAAGGGAGGATGAATATAGAGAGAGTTATTGAAAGGTCATGGATAAAGACCTAAAATATTTAAAAGGTTATATCAAAAATTAAAGACAAACAGAAGAAGGTACTTTTTCTAACTATAAAGGGGGGCAGGGAAACTAGACATTCTTAATTAAACAAGTAATAGAGAACATCCCCCAAAATAGACAGATGTGATTACACAAAATTAATAAGCTTTTAATGCACCAAAAAATGTAGCTAGAATGAAAAAAACCTGTTAAATAAGGTGAAAATCTTTGCAACAAATATTTTTGATAAAAGCCAAACACCCAAGATATTTAGGAAATTGACAGTGGTATACTAAATCAGGAGTGATTCTCCAATAGATATGTGGTCAAAAGATATGAACAAATAGTTTTCAAAAGAAGAATTACATAGTAATAACCATATAAAATGTCCCAAATCACCGGTAAAGAGAGAAAATGCCAGTGAAAAAACCCTGACATTTCGTTTCACACTTATGTAATTGGTAAAGATGATAAAAGATGGAAATAGTTCATGTTGGAGAGACTGAAGAAAGGCAAACACATACTGTTACTGTTGGTGGAACTGTGAATAAGTCCATCTGTTCTGGAAAGCTGTTCTGGAAAACAGTTTAGAATTAGGCAAGAAAAGTTACTGAACTATTGACCAAATTATCTGTCTACTGGATCACCTCAAGGGGATCAAAGACAAGAAGACTTCATATTTAACAAAATATTTATAGCAGCATTTTTTGTGGGAACAAAAAAAAACTGGAAATAAAGTGAGTGCTTATCGATAAAGCAATGGCTGAATAAATTGTTGGTATATGAATATAACGGAAGGTTGTTATACATGGAGAAATGATGAGTATGGAGAATTCAGAGAAACATGGAAAATCTCAAAGGAATTGATGCAGAAGTAAACAGAACCAGGGGAACAATATATACAATGACAATGATGATGTTAATTAAAGGAACATTAAAAGGAAGAGTAACTGTAATGACCCTTCTTGGTGCCATAGAACAGATCATGAAATATCTCTCCCTCCTCTAAGAGGTGGAGGAGTGGGAGGGGGGAGGGAATTTTGGGTGTGGAATATTGCATGCGCTGTCCAACATGGTCATTGTGTCATATGGTTTTTCTTAACTGTGTCTCTTCATTCCAATGATTGTGGAAGACATATATGGAACTGATTGTGGTGTCACAACAAAATGTATCAATAAGGTCTTTTTTTTTTTTTTTTAGGTTAAGACATTTGGAGAGGAGGATGCTGAAGAGCAAGGGTCCTAGATACATCAATCTAGACAAAAGGTGCCCAGTTTTATCCTAAGAAAGATCTATTTTTAACTCCTTCAAAGTTTTGCAGAGAGGGGCTGTTGTCACTGACGGGTGGATAATGGAGTAATGAGGTTGTATAGCAGCCACCTACTTGGAAGTCTATCAGCAGATGGTGATGAGTTGTTCATAGGCTTGTAAGACTTGGAGATGGAAAGGACATTAGAATCAGGCCTTTGAGTCAGGAGGGAATTGGTTTTGAATATCACTTTTGACTCTCACTGGCTGTGGGACCCTGGCCCAGATGCTAAGACTTCTTGAGACTATCACCTCAACTGTAATAGGGCTGTAACAGTGTCAACTCAGCAGTTCTTACCCCTCATAGGGAAGATCAAATAAGACAATGTGAGCAAAGTGCTTTGTAAACCATATAGTGTTGCCAAAATGTCAATTATTACTATTATTAGAGATTTAGCCCAATCCTCTCATTTTATAGACAAGAAAACTGAGAGCCAGAGACAAGTACATGCCCTTAGTAACAGTGAGACATTGAATCCAAGTCTTCTGACTAGAGGGTAGAACTCTTCTCATTATACCAGACTGACCTATTGTAGGTCTTGATTGAAATTATCCTATTCCACCCTTCCTACTTTCAACTCCCTATGACCACAATTCACTAATCCAACCCTGAGGGCAAATGGGTTCAGAAAATTTGACTAAAGGAAGGACTCCAGGGCCATTCTGAGAAGAGGGGGCTCCACCTACCACCCTCTGCTAGGAAGGAGCCTACCCTTAGCCCCAGGCAGTCTCCAGCTTGCAGCTCTAGCTGGATTCAGCTCCATTGGCAAAGGCAAGGAGGCTTCTGGGAAAAATGGTTTCCTTGTGCTATTTCTTTGACTCCTTGCTAAGCAGCTATTCTCCTAGGATCAGCAATGCACAGGACCATAATAAGGTATGGGCATGGGTGAAGTGCACAAGAAAAGGTTAGGCCTGGGTGCCCAAAATGCAATTTAAATTCAGTTAAGTAAATGCGGTAGGAAGGTAAATAGAAAGAAAAAGAAGCAAACTCTGGTCCTCTGGGGAAAGGAAATATTGCTGTTTCCTCCAATTCTAATTCCCCTTCCCTCAGCTTCCCTACATCCCTGAGCCATTACAACTGTAAACAAGGAAATAGCCTCCCTTCATGTGGAGTGGGGGGGGAGGAGAGGAATCAGGATTTGGAGATAGAACAAAGGTACTTTGAGGACTATTCAGTCCACACCTTCATTTTACATATGAGGAAGCTAAAGAGCAAAGGGTCATACAGGTAAGTGCCAGAAGCAGGCTTTGGTTATAGCTTTACGCTTGAGGTTGGGTCAGAAACACAATGGAGAATTTGTAGATCACAACCCATCTGTGCCTGCCCATACTGTATAATCATTGTCCACATGCTCCCATAGTCTTTTTTTTAATTTTAAGTACAGTTATCCCTTCTATATTGGGGTTAGGGATTTGTGGAAGGGATAACTGTATTTTATTTTTTCCAATTACATGTAAAAACAAGTTTTAACATTCTTTTTTAATTTTGAGTTCCAAATTCTTTCTCTCCCTCCCCTTCCTTCCCCCCTCATTGAGAAGGCAAGCAATTTGATATAGGTTATATATGTGGAGTCATGCAAAACATATTTCCGTATTAGTCATGTTGTAAAAGAAAACACAGACAACTCCCCCCACAAAAAAAGATTTTGCTTTGATCTACATTCAGACTCCATTAGTTTTCTCTAGAGTTGGATGTCATTTTTCATCATAAGTACTTTGGAATTGTCTTGGCTCTTTGTATTGTTGAGAATAGCTAAGTCACTCACAATGGATCAAAGTATAATACTATTGTTACTGTGTACACTGTTCTCCTGGCTCTGCTTGCTTTGTTTTGCATCAGTTCAAGCAAGTCTTTCCAGGTTTCTCTGAAAGCATGCTGTTCATTATTTCTTATAGCACAATAGCATTCCAACACAATCATACACCACAACTTGTTCATCCATTCCCCAGTTGATGAGCATCAATTTCTAATTCTTTGCCACCACAAAAAGAGCTGCTATGAATATTTTTGTACACGTGGGTCCTTTTCCCATTTGTCTGATCTCTTTGGGATATAGCCCTAGAATTGGTATTGCTGTATCAAAGGGTATGCATAGATTTATAGTCCTTTGGGCATAGTTCCAAATTGCTCTCCATAATGGTTAGATCAGTTGGTAATTCCGCCAATAGCACATTAGGGTCCCAATTTTCCCACATGCCCTCCAATCCTCCCATGGGACTGACCCAGGAGATCTATCCAAGATACTGGGGTCCTTTCTCAATTTCTGACTTTTTGAGAATACTGTTGGAGAACATGGGTAGTCCTTCCCTCATGTTCCCTGAGTGACCAGTTAGTTCATCTTCATTTTCCATTGTACATTTATCTATTGATTCATTTTTGTTGGTCCTTATACCTTGCAGCCTGCTCACACCTATCATTTGCCTCTTCATTGCCTTTGGAGCATTATTCATTTTTAATTCTTTGCAGATTGTTGTGTTCTTGACCCATAGCCCCCAATAATAACCATTTGCATTGATAGGACACCAGGTGAGGTAGTGAGTGAAGTGCTAGATGGTGGAATCAGGAAGACCTGAATTCAAATCCAGCCTCAGACAATCACTAGCTATGTGACCCTGGACAAGTCATCATTTAATGGCCCTCAGCCTCAGTTGCCTCATCTGTAAAATGGGGATAATAAAAATAGCACCTTTCTCCCAGGGATATCGTGAGGATTCAGATGAGAATATATGTAAAGTGCTTCGCAAATCTTAAAACACCGTATAAATGGCAGCTATTGTTATACTTTGCAAAGTACTTTTCTCCCAAGCTTCCTCTAACATACTGGTGCTGGGTTTTTAAAGGGTCAAAGAATCCATGGCAAGTCCTACCAAACTGGAAAGGCTTTGGAGTGCAAGCCCAGAGATGAACTGCGCATATCTGGCATAGGAGAGAGGCTATCTACCAGAAGATAGATTTTTTGGGGGGGGGGGGGTTGGTGGCACATGAGACCAACTACTAAAAAGAATGGAGGAGCTCTGGTCTGCATAATTGGGAATCACAGATCTTTGAAGGACTGAAGTATTTCTCACCATAACCTTATAAAGCAGGCGGTGCAAGAATTATCATCCCCATTTTACAGACAAAGAAACAGAGGCTCTGATCCATGAAGTGCTATGTCCATAGTCATACAACTAACTAACTTAAAAACTGGGGGGGTGGGGGAGGGGGAGTCTTCTGGCTCCCAGTTTAGGGTTCTTACCCTCCTCCCCTCCCCCTGGAAGAAGGAGTAATAGTCTAAACCAGGAACTCCCAGGAGAACCAGCTGTCTTGCTTCTCCCCTTCCCCCTTCTCCACTTTTTGCTCCACCCTTCCTGGCCCCTCCCTCCCACCCCCAATCTGACTGTCTTTAAATGCTGCTGGAGCAGCTAGGATGGCCATTCAACCACTGCCACAGCCCCGCAGGAGGGAGCCACCGCCTCATGATGCAGTCGGTACAGATTTTGACCTTGGCCCTTCTGGCCCTAAGAGCATGGGCTGCTCAGAATTCAATAGGTAGGAGACCCACAGCTCCTGAAGATGTCCCCCTCCTGTCTTGTTTCCTCCTTCTTCCTAGACCCACCTCCATCGTGTGCTCAGGGCCCTCCCCTGGTCCCCAGCCCCTAAGCCCTCTAGTCTCAGTTTGCCCATCTAGAATGTAAGAAGGTTGGGGAGGGAGGAGTGGGCATTGGGAGCACTGAAGTTTAGCCAAGGCAGATAATGACCCCATTGGTTACCAACCATTCTTGACCCAAGGATCCCTAGAAATGATGGGGTGTCATGGAAAGGGTTTCAGTCAGGAAACAAGGGTTCCAATCCTGGCTTTAGAATACCCCCTAGCTTGGTGACTTTGAGCAGGTCCCCACATCTCTCTGGATCTCACTTTCTTCATGTATGAGATGAGGAGGCTGGATTTCCAGAAGTAGGTTCTCTCCAGTCCTAATTCCTACCTCCAGTTTTGCTAGTGGGGTCCTCTCCTGCTCCCTCCAGCTGTCCACTAAGAATACCTGCCCATCTCCCTGTCCCTTTCTCCTCTCTCCTCATCTCGCAATTTATTTCCAATCCCCATTCCCCATACCTTTAACTTCTACCGGTTGTGGGACCTCCCTGGCCTGGCCAGCCCCTTAAGGAAAGCTTTGCTTTTCATCCCTCTTCTTTGTTCAAAGTGGCCCCCGGGGTGGATGTGCAGCTTCTGGACAGGAGCAGGAAAGAATTGGAGAAAGAAGAGAAGAGGAGGAAAAGAAAGGAGCCGGTGGGGGGAGAAGTGGAGAAAGAGAGAAGGGATGAAAGAGAGACTCAATTCGACAAACTGCTATTAAGCAGCTGCTTAATATAGCTGTGTGTGGCAGACACAGGACTCCAAAGACGAAGAACAAGAGTTAGGGCTGTCTAAGGTGGGGGAAGGGGGAGGATAGGGAAAACAAATAGATTTTAAAGTGTGCCAAGGGCAAGGAGACAGAGTAGTCCAGAAAAGTCTGGTACGGAAGAGGCCACTTAGCTAGGAGGATATGTCGGGGACATCTTCAAGGAGGAGGCGGCATCTGAACCTGATGCGAATGATTCCACAGGCAGAGGTGAGGAACAGCTTGTCATAGAAGAAAGGGTTTAGACTTGGAAGGACCTTAGGGATCTGCCTTTGTGAAAGGAGGCAGGAAGAGAGGGACGTAGGGTGGAAGGAAGAAATGGAAAAGGGGGACAGGGCGAAGGTTGGGGAGCTAAGGTGTCAGGAGAGAAGCAGCAGGACTTACCTTCCAGAGTGGAGAAGCTGGCAGAGTGCTCATGGCTCCTGTTCATTGCAGAGAAGGCTGGGTACTGCCCAGACTTCCGCCAGGTCTCATCAGACATAGCTGACTGTAAACAGATGTGTCACAATGATGCCAGCTGCCCCCGAAACCTGAAATGCTGCCAACGAGGCTGCAGCTGGCTATGTATCAACACCACCCAAGGTAAGAGAATTCGGTTCAGTAGGGAAGCGCTCCTTGTCTCTGGGACCGTGGAGGCTAAGACTCTGGGATTCCCCAGTCAGGGTGCCTGGATAAATAGCTATGGGGATGAGCAGTAGATGGGGAATCAGAAGTGCAGGTAGTTCTCCATGTTCTTCAGCTCATCCCAACTCCTCCACATCAGGGAGGACTGCCTGGAAGAGACATAACAACCCCACCCTACCCCACAGACCCCTGAACAGAGCCAGGTTACATAGAGCAGCACAGAAGAAGCAGGAAGCCAGCTCTCCCACCCCCCACCCTCCACTACTGCTGGTTCTGCTCTCTTCCAGAGAAGGATGGTATGTGCCCCATGGCAACCTCTCCTTCTTCCTCCTCCTCCTCTGAGGAGCAATGGCGCAATCGGCTTTGCAATGAGACATGCAGGACCGACCTGGACTGTGATGGGGAAGCTAAATGCTGTGCTAGCTCTTGTGGTCGAACCTGTTCCAGGCCTATCAAAGGTAATAATGGTCCCTATAATGTGTTTCTAAAACAAGTTTACAGTTTCTAAGGTGCCTGCTAGGTGGCACAGTGGATGGAACCTATTGGGCCTGAAGTTTGGAAGATCTGAGTTCAAATCCTGCTTCAGACACTCACTAGCTATGCGACCTTGGGCAAGTCAATGAACCTTTCTCAGCCTCAGTTTCCCCATCTGCAAAAGGGGGATAATCATAGCACTTCCCTCACAGGTATGTTGTGAGGATCAAATAATACTTTTAAACTGCTTTGAAAACCTGAAAGTGTTATATAAATGTTAGACATCCTTACAACAACCTGGAAGATATGAAATGCAAGTAGCATTTACCTCTATTTTATCGGTGGAGACAAGAGAGTCAGAGACTCGCCCTTGAGCACAGACGTAGTGAAGGGACCCAGACCACTATGCCAGAGCAGAGTTGGGAGGGCACATCAAACCCAACCCCACCCCACGCATTTTACAGATGAGGAAACCACAGGGAGTCAAGTGGATGAGCTGAGATTAGAACTAATATCCTCCCGCTCAAGAGAAATTGGGATTGCTCCTGCAGGGCTGCTTCTGGCAGGCCCTCTCTGCCCCATTCTGGCAACAAGGCTACTGTCTGTGTCCTCTAACTCACACTGTCCCATCTCCCCTCCCCCACCCCCCCATGCCATCCCCCCACAGCCAAGCCCGGTCGATGTCCTGCTGTGGCCGAGGTCTGCCCCGAGGATAGGGCCCGGATCCACACCTGTCGCAGAGATGATCATTGCAACAGAGGCAGAAAGTGCTGTTCTTCTGGCTGTGGTCGGAGGTGTATGGAGCCTTTCCCAGGTAAGAATCAGCCAGCAAAGCTGAGTGAGTCCTCTCCTCACTTAGGGTTAGCTCTTTTCGATTCTGCATCGGGTGACCCCAAGAAGCATAAGAATCATTGTCCTTTCCTGGGTGGTGAACCCACCATCTAGCTGGAAAATCGGGACGTGGAATCTGTATCAAGTTAAAATGAATACTTAATTCCAGACAATCTCATTTTAGAATTGTCTAAAGGCGGCACAATGGGAAAAGCGCTAATCTGGGAACGCTGGTTTAAGTCCTAACCCATTTACTGAGTGGCCTCAGGCAAGTCCCGTTGCCTCTCCTGAATCCCAGTTTCCCTCTCTATAAAATGGGTGTAATAATACTATAGTACCTAACTCAAAGGGTGGCTGTGTGCAAACCTGAAAGCACTGTACAAGTGTGACAGATTATTAGTATTCGTGACTCATTATAAGTACTGGGAGAATTCAGAGATCAGCTGGGCCTGGCATTATTGTGTTATTAGGAAAGGGAAGAGATGGGAGGTTAGCTGGGCTTTGAAAGATGAGAAAGTTTCTGGATGGGCAGAAGGAAGTTTAGGTGCAGTGGGAGTAGTAGGATAAAAGGTATGAAGGCCAGAAAAATTAAAAGTATGCACTGACATAGAGACTTGAGTTCTAATCTTGGCTCTGTCATTTACTAGCTCTGTGGCCTTGGGCAAGTCATTTCCCCCAGTATAGGTTTGACTTTCCTTATCTGCAAAACGAGGTGGGAGTGGACCAGCCAATCCTCTGCATTTCTGCCAACTCTGAGCTGGCTCCAGGTCTGAGTACAGGGGACAGTGAGGAAACAGTCGGACTGGTGTAATGGGGTAGAGGATGGACAGGTGGGGCAGGGGCAGACTGAAGATGTACTTTTGGGTTCTGTAGACAAACGGGAGACGTGGAAGGCTCTTGATCAGGGGAGTATACATGAAGACAGCAATGTTTTAGATTCATCTGATGGATTAGAAGGGAAAGAGTCAGGGAGGTTAGTACAGAAACCCAAGCATGAGGTATGGGAAAGTTTTGTAGGATTATAGATTTAGACCTGGAAGGGAGTTCCCTAGAGATTGTCTTTTTAAAAAACAGATGAGGAAACTGAGGCAAAGAGAGGTGAGTAATTTCCCCAAGGTCCCAAAGTGTCAGAGGTGAGATTTGAAGCCTGTTCCTCTGACTGCAAGCCCTATGTTCTTTCCACTCAGCTATGCTGTCTTTTCCAGGGATAGTGAGATTTTTCTCCTTTCCCCTCCCCATCCTCGAAAGGCCGAGACCTCAAGCTTAGGTCAGCTTCTCCAACCACTACTTTAGCTGCTGCTCATTTGTTCCAGAATAGGATCAGACTGTTCTCCCATCCTCCCATCCTCGTCCCTCATCCAATTATGAAGGTCTGGATAGAATGATGGAATGGAAGGAGCACTGGCCCTAGAGGTCGGAAGGCCTGGTTCAAATTCCGGCTCTGACCCTGATGTCTCTGGGCCAGTTTCCTCAGGACTTGTATCTTTGGTTTGCTATTTACGACCCTGTACAGACAGACCCTTAACATCTCTGGGCCTCTGAGACTCTACCTGATAAATGAAGGGGCCCGTCTACATGTGGGGTGAGGAACCTGCAGTCTCGAGGCCATATGTGGCCCTCTGGGTCCTCAGGTGTCTGAATCCCAACTTCGAGGCTATAGGTTTCCCATCCTTGGTCTACATGACGTCTCAGTTCTATAGCCTACAAAAGGAGGGAAATATTGTATTTGCAATGTAAACTTCCTAAGGCCAGAGCATTTCCTTTTTGTCTTCGTATGTATCCCTGGGCACCTAGCATAGTGGACATGGGAGGCCACTCAGCATTTGTGTTGTAAGATTGTATTACACCTTCTCAGACTTATGAGCAAGCGCTTTGTAAATCTTTGTAATCACCATGTGAACAGAAGCTACTATCATTATGATGATGATGATGATGATGATTACCTAATGACCCTTCTCCTCCTTATCCTCCCCAATCCAAAAGTCATTAAGCATCTACCATGTGTTAGGCCTGAGAGGGAAGTAATCAGTCTACCAACAAGTAATTAATTAAGGGCCTACCATATTAGGCAAGGGAAAATATGCTTTCTTTCATCCATTTCTGTGTTGTTTAAAATTTTGTTTTCTGTGTCTGCTACATTTCAATCTGTGTATGTCAATGTCAGACAGTAAGTCAATTAGCTTTTATTAAGCATCTGCTTTGTGCCAGGCACTGTACTAAGCATTGGGGGATTCACAGAAAAGAAGTTCTCAAGGAATTCACAGTCTAATGAGGGAGACAGCATGCAAACAATTGTGTACAAACAAGCTCCATACAGGTTAAATTGAGGACAATCGGCAGAGGGAAGACACTATCATTAAGGAAGATCAGAAAAGGCTTCTTAGCGGGACCTACAGTCACACAGGTATTTAATTAGATGGCAGACCCAAAACTAAGACCCTGAACTCATGATTCTGCGCCAGTACCGTTCTCTCTCTGTCATGCCCCTCTAAGGATAGGGACCAGAACTCTATCTGCTCTGTATAGCGTTAGGTTCAAAGATGCTGTGCGTAAGGCTAAATATATTAGGAAAACAAAGTGACAGGGACAGAAGATGGAGGCATTGGGGAGACTTGGGGGTCTTTGAAAGTTTCAAGGCTACATTAGATAAGAATGCAGAAGGGTCATCAGTTCTCCCCTGTTACATCCATAGCCACCACCAATACATACCCGATCAATCAATTTCACACTCACACACACACACACACACACACACACACACACACACACACACACACACACCCCTTTTAGCCTTCTGGGCTGTGATGTTCCCTGGACTGCACCTATCAAAGACAACATCTTCCCTTTCCTGTCTTCCAGTCCTGGCCAGGGCTGATTGTCATGGTAACACTGCCTTTCCTTTTCATCATCACCATCAATAACACTACTTTATGTTCATTCTTTCTCCTAATCCCTATCATATCACTAGGAAGTAGGTAGAGAAAACACAACTATGACCATTTCTCAAGTGAGAAAACTGGAGAATTACGTTGGGTAATTTGCTCAAGGCCACACAAGTTATCGGCAGACTGGGGCCACAGACCCAGGTTATAGGACCATAGGGGTTAGACCTGAAATTATCAAGCTCCACAGAAGTCAAGGGACTTGCCCAATGCACTACATGGTAGCAGTAAGGAACAGAGCTAGGATGCTCTGACTTTCAACCCAGTGTGTTTTCTACTCCATCATCTGCCTCTTACCTCCCCTGGCCCCTCCTTGGCACTTTTTTCTAGGACCTGCTCAGCCCCTAGCCTTGAAAGCTCTCCTCCCATCCTGACCCCATCTGTCTAGCTAGAGGGGATCCTCTTGCTCGAGTCTCCCTGGTTGGTTTCATAACTTCATCCCACCTCAAGCTTCCTCCCTTGCCATTCAGCTCCCCTGACTCCAAATCTGTGGCTAGTCCCTTTCAGGGGTCTGAGTGGTCCCCCTGTTTTCTTTCCAGAGGAGCATGAAGCAGTAACCAGAAGCTTTCGTCGAGAGGAAAGCACCGTATTAGCCCTCTAAGGACTGAACCAAGACAATGGACAGCCCATTGGTCTGCTCCTGGAAGTCCAGATATCTTTTTTTCTTGGGGCTCCAACCCCTGCAGGTACTAATAAAAGCATTGACTCTGAATGGTGGATTATGCCTCTTTGCTCTGCCTCCTTTCTCTTTTCTTTCCTGGTCCAGCTTCTAGAGTCATATAACGATAAAGTCATAGGGTTTTGGAGTCTAGCTTCTTACTGACCTGCCCTGCCCTTGGGAAAAGAAGACAATAATGTGTAAAGTTAAATACGAATACAAGAGATAAAGTGTTCAATATAACAAACCAAGAGTATAGGAATAAAGCGTAAATGACAGATACCAATAATAAATGAGGTGAGAGACATCACTATAGGCCATGTTGCTAAAGGAAGGCTTGCTTCAATGAGATGAGAATTAAGCTGGGCACTGAAGGGTAGGTATGAAGGACAACAACCAACCAATGATTTGGAAGAAAATGGAAGAGGACATGCCAGGGGAGGAAATACAACAAAATACGTATTCTGTGGCCATTGACTATAGCATTTTGGTTAGAAAGTGATATTCGGGAAAGAGATGGCTAGCAATAAGACTTAATATAGTCTCTAAATAACTGGTGATGGGCTGCATCCAGATTTCTGAAAAGGCTAGTTTCTGTGAAGGATGGAGGACTTATTTGTTCTGCCTCCACATAGGAAATTGTGGTCCCATCATGGGAAAATGAGAAGTTAAGGAAAGAGGGCCAGGTGGGAAGAATTGGCAGGAAAGTGGAAGGTAATGGCATCACAACCAGCCAGGATGAGTATCTCATCTCACAATGGGTCCCTGGCTCCCCATTGGCTATCCACTGACCAATTGAAATAGTGAGTCTGTATGTATAAAAGGGTCCCTGTTAGGGGACCAAACACAGATGCCTGGACTAATTGGAGATGCCAGGAGATCTCAGGATAACATCATGCCTGAGAAGCGGAATCCCCGAGGACCCTCAAATCTTCGTGGTCGAACCCAATCACGCTCCTCAAGGGCCCAGCTGCAGTTCCCTGTGAGCCGTGTGGAGCGCTTTCTGCGCCAGGGCCACTATGCCCAGAGACTAGCCTCAGGTGCCCCTGTTTTCCTGGCTGCGGTGTTAGAGTATCTGACTGCTGAGATCCTGGAGCTGGCAGGCAATGCTGCCCGTGACAACCAGAAGAGCCGAATCGCTCCCCGCCATGTGCAGTTGGCTGTGCGCAATGATGCTGAGCTCAACCAGCTCTTTGGCCATGTCACCATCTCACAGGGCGGAGTCTTGCCTATCATCCACTCAGCGCTGCTGCAGTCAATAAGCAAGGCCCGTGGCAGCCAGAGCCATGTTGGACTTCCCCATATCTACTCGGTGAAGGCCAAGTGAGCCAGCTTGGAGACAGCCCAGAGTCTTATGTAGGAGCCACTTCTGTTCTCTGGGTCCTCCAATTTCATCTCCCCGCAAACTTATTAAAAGAGATTAAATCCAAAGCAGCTTTATTCAGACTCATCATTCTCTTTGTAAATCCCACTTCTAGAGTCATGGCCATGTGCCATGTGTCTTAGGGACCACACTGTGGCCATATGTCATGGCTTATGAGCTGGCCTCTTGGTTCTTTATAAGGATAAGCACGGGTTTTCTACAGCACAAATTGCATTTACCTGGCTTTCAAAGCCTTTCACTCTTTGGGCCCAACCCATCGTCCTTAATTTCATCTCCTACCACTCACCCACAAGAAGCCTTGGCCCTACTTTGAATAAAATCAAGTTGAGAAGTGATTGCTGAAAGGTAGGGGAGACCTATGCATCTTTAAATGCAGAAGAGGGGCTAATTCAGAAGGATGAGTGTGGGAACAGAGTCCAGATCTCTTAATCTCATTCCCTCCTGATCCCTAAAAGATCTAGACCCTGCTTTCACGATCCTATACATCTTCTGTTGATGCGGTGATTGTTTAGTCATGTCTAACTCTTCACAACCCGTTTATGATTTCTTTGGCAAAGTTACTAGAGTGGTTTGCCATTTCCTTCTCTTGTTCATTTTACAGACGAGGAACTGAGGCAAACAGGGTTAAATGACTTGTCCAGGGGTCACCAAAGCTAGGAAGTTGTCAGGTCAGATTTGAACTCAGGGCGATGAGTCTTTCTGACTTCAGGCCTGGCATTCTATCTACTATGCCACCTAGCTGCCCCATCTTCTATTCTAGCTATTTTCAATTATATTGCAACTGTTGCATTCTATGGTCTTTTAAATATAGCATAGAGAAATTTGTGCTTTTTCAAATTTGTCCTAATACAAATGTTTAATTTATACTTCCCTGTTTTTACTGCTAGGCAACACAAGGTTTTTGTCAACAGGAGTTAGAATCCTGCTAAATGTAGAAAACTGCTACACAATTGAAAAATTGAAAATTCCTTCCATCTCCTTCATTACCTGAAACTTGGCTTTTCCTTTACCTCAGGGATGCTGCTTCCCTAGCAGCCTGCAAGCTGATACTGGTCACACGTTCTCCCATTCTTATTTCACAGAACCCTAAGGAGCCAAGGATAGACTGTGCTCTTTGTGATTCTATGTCATTAATGATCTCTCCTCTTTTTAGTAATATAATTCAACTGCACGCTCTCTCCTGATCAACCAAACCCTTAGCATTTCTCATCTTTTTTTCCCCATGATTTTGATAGTCTTTCTCCCTTCCCTTCTTAGTGACTTTAAAATCAATATTGATGGGAATTGTACTTTTATCATCTTTCCATTGCTCAGTCAGGCAGAGATGAAGACACTTCTGGAAGAACCAGCATGATATGGCCACCGAAGGAGAACCCTGAGTTTAGATCAAACTTGTATTAAATAGTGGTACTAGAAAAATCACATTGGTAAACACCACTTTACTGATAAATGTGAGAAGTATGCGGCCATCTTGGGTGTTGAGGTCCATCCCCTTGTGTTCCTTATTAACAGAGGTTCTATCAAATTCAATGTATGTTATACATCTGGCCATGAGAGGAATTTGGTAGTCTGTGAGATGGTTATTACATTCAAGCTCAGTGTAGCATTATAATTTTTGATGTAACGTGGAGAGCTACTTACAAGAATGAACCTACCTAGCATAGAAATCAGGTATGAGAGCATGTCAATTTATACCTAAGTGTTGAATGGCAACAAAGTAGATATTAAGAACAGAAAAGTCAAGGAGAAATACATTGTCTTCCATTGGAAAAAAAAAAACCCTAGTACTATGACATTTCAGTCAAAAGTAACTGCAACTCTGAGATGCCCTTCCTTTGGCTTACTAGAAAACTTACTAGAAACCCTAATTTGGAGCTTGTTACCACCATATCTACTCTTGCATCTCTCTAGAGATGGTCATTGACCCAACACTGGCAAACACAGTATGAGCAGAACTTACAGACTGCTCAGACAACTGTACTCCTGATGAAGATGGCGATGGCTTGTGGGAGATGGAAGCTAGAGCCCAGCATCAGAGGTCACTTATAAGCAACTGCTCTATGATGTCAGTGGTGCAGAAAGTCTGGTACTTTCAAGATGAACAAAACATGTGCTTAATCTTTGGGTTGCTAGAGGAAATGAATGGACTTGAGAATGAATTGTAGTAAACTGTTTAAAAAAAGTCTAATTTAAGGGAATAATATACACACTCAATTGGGTGTGGAAATCTGTCCTACCCTACAGGAAAATAGGGGGGGAAGGGGACAAGAGAGTAGGGGAATGATAGAGAGGAGGGCAGATTGGGAAAGGGAGTAATCAGAAGCAAATCCTTCTGAGGAGGGACAGGGTCAAAAGAAAGAATAGAATAAATGGGTGGGCGGGATAGGATTAAGGGAAATAGGGTTAGTTTTTCACAGCATGTCTACTATGGAAGTATTTTGCATAACTGCACATATATAACCTATATTCAGTTGCTTGCCTTATCAATGAGGGTGGGTGGGGAGGGAGGAAGGGAGAAAATTTGGAACCCAAAGTTTTAAAAACACATGTTTAAAAAAAATGTTTTCACATGCAACTGGGAAATAAGAAATACAGGAAATGGGGTACAGAAATCCATCCAAAAAAAAGAAAAAAGAAAGAAAATCACTTTAACAACTGAATTAAGAATATGGGTGGGGGGAGGATTTGCATGATAACTGTTGTATATTTAAAAGGAATAGCAAGTTGTGCATGGTAGATTTGCAGTTTCACATGCAATCATCTTTTTTTATTATACTATGTTATGGAAATGCTTGTTTTATTCCTTAAATTAAAAATAAAATAAATTTTTAAAAAGTCTAATTTATATTTTGAACCTGAGTACTTAGCTGTTTTGAATTAAAATTATATCCCCCCGCACCTTAAGTTTCAAACATGAGCAACTACTACGATCCTATTACCATATTCAGCACTGAATCTTGTTCGTTACTATCATGCTCATCTCTTTTTGTTTAGATCATAATAAGACTGTATTTCAAATGTCTAAGCAAATGAGATCTTATCCCTTGTTTACAGTAAGTATTTGAAAAGCTGTTTTGTACATTGCTATTTTGATGGTCTTCACATTTTCATGGCAAAATTATATTTTTAAAGTATTGAAAACAATAAATATCACCACCAAATCACATATAATACTCCACTTCTTAACTCTATATAATAAGTTCAATGCAGAGCTCACATTTTTTTCTCTCCTGACCAACTCCTGCCCTCATACTAGGGGACTTCACCATATATATTGACTCTCAAACACCCTAACCACTCAGTTCCTCAACCTACTCACTTTCCATGACCTACTCCTCTATTCCATCTGAGCCACACACAAAGATGGTGTCATACCTTTGATCTTGCCATCACCCACAGATGCACCACTTCTGTGTTCAGGAATTCTGAGATCCTCTTATCCAACCATAATCTATTGACTTCCCACCTCTCCCTCTGCCTTCCCTTGCCAGACCCTACTCTTTATCCACACTATGACTGCCAGTCCCTTGATTCCTCAATTCTCCCCCAAGCCATCTTCCCTGCACCAGCTACTATCTCTCCTTTACCCCATCTTGACCCCTTGGTGAACCAATTCAACTC